CCCTGGGGCGTTGAGCCCCTGAAGCCCTGGGGCCCTAGGGCCCTGAGGCCCAAAGGCCTTGCGACTCGAAGATCCTACGACCCTAAGAACCTAAGACTTCAAAGCCCTGAGACCCGAAGACCCTCGGGCCCTCAGGCCCCAAGACCCTGAGACCCAAAACCCTCATGCCCTAAGACCTTAGGACCCTGAGGCCCTACGAACCTGTGACCCTGATACCCTGTAACCCTTGGACCCTAAGACCCCACGACCCGAAGACCCTAAATACCTTAATACCGTAGGGCGCTGAGACCCCGAGGCCCTAAGACCCTCGGGCCCAAAGACCTTGGGGCCCTTGAGATCCTGAGACCCTAAGATCCCAAGTCCCACAGGCCCTGATATCCTAAGACCTTGAGGCACTAATGCCCTCAGGCCCTAAAGCCCTCAGGCCGCAGGGCCCTATGGCCGTGGGGCTCTAAGGCCCGTGGGGCCCTAAGCCCCAGGGGCCCTGAGACTCTGGGGCCCCGGGGCCTGCAGCCTCGAGGACTTGGGGCCCTAAGGCCCTGCGGCCCCGAGGCCCCGAGGCGCTGAGACCCCGGGGCCCCAACGCCACGAGGCCCTGAGGCCCTCGAGCCGCGAGGCCCTGAGACTCCAGGCGGCAAGCCCTTGGGGCCCCGAGGCCCTGAGACCCTGAAACCGCGAGTCCCTGATATCCTAAGGTCCTGAAGCCCTGGGGACCTAAGACCTTGAGGCCCCGAGACCCCAATGCCCTAAGGCCCTAAAGCCTTAGGACCCCGAGACCCTAAGAACTAAGAGCCTGTAAATATTGTAATCCTAAAATGCCCACCGTGCTCCTTATGCGCCCCCTTATGCCGCCCCACATTTCGGCGCACCCCTCGCGCAGATCCTTGCCCTCGGAGTGCCAGGAATGGTGTTCCGAGAGCTTTTGCAAAACGCAGGGCGCACCCCTCACGCAGATCCTTGCAAGCCGGGGTATGATTCGCCAAGGCGTCGGTAAGTTGCTGCGGGGAGCTACTCGTTTTTGGTCGTTTCGCATGCGCGCGTCGCATCGCCCTTGCATCGGCCTTCGCGCACCGTGCCGCAGTGCTAAGGATGCGAACTGGGGAGCCGTCTCCTCGAGGCAACGAGCTATCCCGCGCTCGTGGCGCAGCCACTCCATGCAATCTCACCGCCGCTGGGCGGCGTCCCTGCGACGCACTGGGACTCGCGTAAATATTCGTTGTTCTTCAAATCGCGTCGTCGCGCGCGCGTGCCGCATCGCCGTTGCAGCGGCTTCCCAGAAGACTTTGCGCGACTGTCGTCTTCGTTGTCGTCGTTTTGAAATCAATATCGTCGTCTTCGTCATCGGTATCGTCGTCGTCGTCGTCGTCGTCGTCGTCGTCGTCGTCGTCGTCGTGGTCGTCGTTTTGAAATCAATATGTCTTGGGTCATGGCTGGGTGGGACACGTCCAACAGGCTTCAAGTTTGGGCTGGTGGACTCTAAGAACTAAGAGCCTATAAATATTTAAATCCTGAAGCTCTTACGGACGCCCTTCCGCGGCCCTTATGCCGCCCTCATTTCGGCGCACCACGCAGATTCTTGGCCTCGGAGTGCCAAGAATGGCGTTCTGGGAGGCGATGCTGGCATCGGAATGCCAGACATGGCGTCGTTACTCCTTTGCAAAAGGTACGGGCGCGACCTCGACCCTTTCGGGCTGAGCGCCGCCCCCGTGCCCTTCCCCGGGGGCCGCCCCGTGGAGGCTGGACATGGCCCCCTGGGTTTCCGAGCGGCTATGGCCGCCCCGTCGCGCTGACACTCCGCGGTGCGCTCAAGCGCCACGGAGCCAGCGCGGCAGGACGACCACGGCCGCCCAGAAGGCCCCCTCCCTCGGGAGCCTCTCGCCGAGAAGCTCCCGGAGGAAGGCGCAGCTGCGCCTCGTCGACGCTTTTCTGGGGGCGCCGCGGTGGGCGGCGGTGGTGAGCGGCGCAAGCCGGGTCTCAACGCATCGCTACGATTCCGCCGTGACGCGGTGGAGGGCTCGGCCCAGCGCCAGCGACACGGTGTGGAGACAACATCGTCGTCGTTTTGAGATCAATATGTTTTGGGTCATGGGTGGGTGGGACACGTCCAACAGGCTGCGAGTTTGGGCTAGTGGACCCTAAACCCTAAACCCTAAAGCCTCAAGGACAACGCGTTGAGGGCCTGGGAACCCACAGTTTTTCACGGGGAAGCCTGCTTCGGGGCACGGGCAGACCGCGGCAGGGCTCCCAGACCCCAATACGTTGTTGAAACCTCACAATCTGAACCCTGAGCCTTCCACCCCGCAGGCGGCCAGCCCGCTACGTTGGGGGGCCACCGTGTTGCGGAAGGTCCGGCGGACAACCCCCCGGCGAAAAGCTTCCCGCGTTGGGGGGCCACCGTGTTGCGGAAGGCCCGGCGAGGGGGGCCACCATGTTTCGGGAGGCCTGGCGGACAGCCCCCCTTGCGTTGGGGCGCTGCCATATCGCGGAAGGCCCGGCGAAAAACTCTCTACGTTGAGGGGCCACCTTGTTGCGAAAGGCCCGGCGACAAACTTCCTGTTTTGGAGAACCACCATGTTATGGAAGGCCCGGCGAAAAGCTTCTTACGTCGGGGAGGCGCCATGTTGCGGGAGGCCCGGCGGACCTCCCCCTGCGTTGGGGAGCTACCATGTTGCGGAAGGCCGGGGCGGTTTTGAAGGTCCTGGTCTCGGCTTGGCCTCAGTCGCGGGGTGATTTGTTTCTCGCCGATCGTGGCCAGTCTTCGGCCATCCAACGTGGGTCGCACCATCGCAGTGGCTTCTTCATTCTGGTGCGCATTTATTCCATACCTGCTGCTGTGGCGTCCGATGATGTGCTGGACAAAGCTTCCATGTCGCCCTTGGTGCCTTCGGAGAGTTGGGGACTGATCGCGCGGCCATGGCACGATGCGCGGCAATAGCTGTTGGGACATGAGCGGCAAGCCCATCCATGTACACTGTCTGAGACATTCGAGTTGTTGCTCTTATCAGCATTGTTCAGCACTGGATTGGCGGTTCGCTCGCGCTGATAATTCAGGGGGTCCCGCCGTTTCGCCGACTCCTTGAGGCGACAGGGCATGTTTTGAACTCGCGGGGTCATCGTAGTAGCTGTCTAGCATGCTCGCGGTGGGCCCGAAGGCCATGGAGTTGTAATGGCTGAGTCGCCGCTTCTTTGCAGGGTGGCATTTTGGCAACAGGCTCGGCGAATTGGAGGAGGGGGGTGAGCAACTCAACCAAGGGCGGGGTCATGCGAGCGACGACTGACAACCCCGACGCCCACGGCAAACAGATGCAGGCCCCAACTGGCGGGGCCCTATGGTAGGGGTCTTGATGGCGAGGTCTGAAAATCCAACGCGCAAGAACGAACGTTTCCGATTCAAGCGAGTGCCCTCTAGTGCAAGACCCTATGGCGATGTTGGGGGGCTCCCTGGGGGCCTCTTGAAGGCTTCTTGAGATCTCTTCTGGCCCTTTGGGGGCACCTTGGGGCCTCTGTGGGGTCTTTGGGACATTCTGGGTTAGTCTTCTTGGAGCATCCTGCAACCGTCGGGCCAGGCCGTTCTGGGGCCGCGCGGAGCGCTTGGGATCAAAATGTCGCGGTTGGTTGGCGCAGTCTGGGTCAGTTTGCCTATCGCGATGGTCATCAGCAGTTCCGTCCGATTGCAATGCTTGCTTAACCGCTGTGCCTCCTGTTCTTGGCCGCGCTTGGCGTGAGGTGGTTCGTGCGACCTTTGTATGCTGACTTCCAAGAGTGCGTCGTGCCTCTCACCGCGAACAGTGGACCAAGCTTAGCGTATTCAAGCATCTTTAGTTGTGCTCTGTTTTGGGTCATCAGCTTTTTGAGCGCGCGTGTCGAATTTGCGTTGCCTGCCTCGTCTAACCCAGTCTCTGCTGACGTGTATGAATCGCTGTGGCACTTCTGCTTTTGATGGATTTTCAAGTTCCCAGCCTTTTGGCTTCCCGACGCTCCAAGACGGCCCAAGAGGCCCCCAAGACCGCAGAGGCCTCCAAGAGGGCCCCAAGACGGCCCACGAGGGCCCCAAGACGGTGCCCGAGGCGCCCAAGACGGCCCGAGAGGGCCCCAAGAGGGCCCCAAGAGAGCCCCAAGAAGGTGAACGCGAACCCAACAGCAGAGCCTTTCGCCCTAAGAGGCCCACAGGAGGCCCCAAGAGTCCCCACGTGGTGCG